ACGTATACTGGTTGAAGCTAGGCTTCAGACTGAGACTTGAATAGACAACTGAGTCTATTACTAGAGACATCCCTATGAAGTGTACATAGGGAAAACAAGAGGAGGACAAACTAAAGTAACAGAGTAGCAAAGCAGTGCTACTTAAATTGGCAAAGCAAGTAAAGTTTAATAAGTATGAAACACTGAGTTAGATCAGTGATGTACATAAAACAGGGTTGTATCAGTGATGAAGATGAAACATGATAGAGGTGAGACGTGATGTAAGTGAGATGTGATATAGATGAAACATGATAGATATGAAACACTGATGTAGGTGAAACACATCAGGTGATGGGATCAGTTGTACGGTTACAGGGTCAATGATGAATAGTTAGGAAAGAAAAAGAAACACCCCTCTTGAAGCTGTAACATTACCCCCCCCTCCAGATTTGTTGTTCACAGTTTCCATTGTGCGCAATGCTCCTGTAGATACCCAGGTTTGTCAGTGGGACAGGGAAGTTGTCCAGGTTGGATGTTGGAGGTGGTGTGGAATTTATGATGAGGATGTAAGAGTCTGCAATAGGAGCACAACCAATGCCAACACTCACTTTGAAGGTGGCCGTTGACCTCGCATTTGGTACAGAAGTGGAGGCAATGGGGCATGGTGCCAGAAGGAGGAGTAATGATGGAGAATTTGTGTTGTTCAAGACATTCCTCCAAATTGGCAGCTTGAAGCTGAGTTCGACACTGGTCTATTTCTCCTTGTGCGCGAATGAGTTCTACACCTATAGATTGTTGTGTGGCAAGTAGGAGGTCTATCTTGGCATCAACAGCCCTGAAGCAATCGACTTCATCAGTCACGCCAGGATCCTTGATGTCCTGCAGCAATGCCCAAAGGCTTTCCAATAGATTATCATCTCGCGTCAGCAAGTATTCCCAAGTGTCCTCCTCCCATTCCTTGTCCGAAGAGTTCCAATTCCCTACAGGTTCTGCGGCATGAAGTACATCTGCTACAGTTGTCAAAACCCATTGTAATCCAAATGCAGGATTGCCATCAATGGGAACACCCATAGGCAGTCGAGTAACGGTGGTAGCATATGCTCCGGGGAAGTAGGGTAATACACGTTCCAAGGGGTTGACATCCTGAACTGGGGTGGAGGTGTCGAAGGGAATGGATCGCCAGTACCGGGTAACATCGTTGGAGGGTCGCTGGATGATATTGTTGCTGTAGACTACAAACTCCTGGGGGTTGCTGCTATGCCCTTCTGATACGGTAATGTACTCACTGACATTGGCTAGTAGCTGTAGATTGGGGGCATGGTCCAGGCTACCATTGTCAGAGGCATTAGAGGCAAGAGGAGGCATACTGGGGGAATGAGTAGATGCAGCAGCGGGACTATCAGGGTTTGAGGAGGATGAGATGTTCATAGGTGATGAGGATGGGAATACCTGTGCAGGAGCCACATGGTAGGATCTACTAGACGCTTCCGACCTGTGAGGTACCTCCAGGGGACCAGGAAACTGGTGCAAAACTACAGCATCGCTATTAGAGGAGTCCGGGGGTCCTGGGATGAGGAAGGGACGGCGAGTGACATTTGGCAGGAGGGATGTGAACGGATAGTGAAAACCTCCTTCATCAAGGAACTCTAAAGAAGACTCATCAGATTCCTGCTGGGAAGGGAAGCTTAGGACAGGCCAAATGGGAACTGGCATCTCTATTATCCCAGCCGTGAAACACTCTTCTAATGTCTGGAGGTGGGAAGGGTGAGGGGTTGGTGCTCTTTGGGGGCCAGCCATTGGAGAATTGTCATGCCTAGGAGCCAGAGGATGACAACGTGGATCCAGATTAGAGGTCACATTGTTGTTTCTGGTATGGTTATTTTGCTCAGTAGGCATAGTGTTAAGGGACCTAATGACTGAGGATCAGGAGTTCAACTGTTAAACTG